AAAAAAACTATTTGATATTATTATTTTAAGAAATAATTGTTCAAATTAAGATATATTATTTGTTAATATTTAGCAACTTTATAAATTATTTAAAATTATTATTTTTATTTTAAATTAATCTCACTAAATAGCATTATATCAATTTATAATACTTATATTATAGAATTTAAAAATATGTATCTTTAACTAAAAATATTTAACATATTTTTTTTCTATTTACCTTAATTTCAATTTTATAATTATAAAATATAAAATATCTGTAATATAAATTTTATATATAAATTTTTATTATAATTATTATAATTTCTATAATAGTTTTCTAATATATTTTTTATTATGTTTACTACCATTTTTACTATTAATATTTGAAGAAAATTATTCATATGCAATAATAGCTCACTTTTAAATATTTTATGCTTTGCTTATATAAAAATTAGTTATTTTACTATTATATTTTTTTTATAATTGATAATTACAAATTTATTGAGAAAGATAAAAGTATATTAATTATTTATAACTTCATACTTTCTTTAGATTTTCATATGATAAAATTAGAAATTAGTATTATTATTTTTTGAACAGTTCCTTTTGCTTTAATTCTAATATTTACACTAGCTTAAGATTTCTTTTATAATGAGTCTCAAAATAATTGTTTTCTATTTTTTACAAATTTCTTTAGATTTAATAATTGGATTTTGACGAATTTAAACTTATTTGAAAGTTAAAACTATTAAATCTGCTTATTAAAATTTGATAGGAATTTGATCTAGTTAATATCAAGATATTCACATTATTATTTTACAATACTAACAACTGAATAATTAGTATTAACGCAAGATTAACAAAGCTTTAATTAATACTTTAGGAAGAGATCTAAAGGGTGAATAAATAATTATTACTTTAAAATAATAATGTATATTAGAATAAACTTTGAGGATTTTATTAAAGAATAAAGAATTCAGTATAATTATATTTGTTAGTATATAACTGTTATTAGTATTTATCTTGTTGGTAATAAAACTAATTGAATTCTAATTGTTTTCAAAATTATTATCTACTGTTGTCCACCTTAACCAAGTCCTAAAGCTATCCTATTTATACTAAATTTACTAATATAAATAAATAAAATACTAATTGATTACAAATAATAAATGATTAATAATGCAAAATGATTAATAATATAACAGAATTTTCTGGTGACTTCTGGGTCTTTCACATAATCTTCATTTAATTCATTTCTCTCATTTTCGCTATCTAATATGGTGTAGTCAATGTTACTTCTGGTCACATGTATCATGTGATCTTTTGAATTAATATCTTCCTATTACAACATTCAAAATTTATTATAACAAATCAGAACTTTATATTTTAACCAAATTGTTTAATTTCTTAAAAAAATGAGCTAACAAGAATTGCTAATATAAGATGCTTTACTTATTTCAAATAAGTTTATTTTAGTAATTTAATACTTAAAGAAGTGTAAGGTGGTATGTGTTGACATTAATATAAAAATTCTATAATTATTTCAAAAAATTTTAAAATTTCAAATTTCAAAAAAATTTCTAATACCAGTTTTCAAATAAATTTCTGTATTTCAAATTATTTTTAAACTAAAATTCTATTTTTATTCTATATATTTAAGGTAATACTTCTCAAAGCATGCACTAATTAATGTAAACAACAAATAAAATAAATATAAAAGAGAATAAAATTTATTATAAAAGACTGGGTAATATCATTTACTAATCTACATCAGTAATTAGATTTTTTTTTATTGATAGCTAGTTATTTTAAATATTATAATCATGTATTTTATTAAACTTTATATTTAAATATTTTATTTAAAAAGTTACTTTAAGATCAGAAACTTAATTTGCGTTTTATTACAGAATTTTTAGTGTCAGGTGCTAATAATGCGTACGATCTTATAGAAAACTCATGCATACAGTAAAATTTGATGATACCTGAAAAATTTGTTCGGGTATCAAAAAATTTATTATTATTTTTAAATTTAATAACTTTTGAACTAACAATTTTGATTAATAGTTTTTTTCTATCCTAACTACAACTTATTCTTTATAAATGCATTAAGAATTTTTTTTATAAAACAGTCAAATACAATCTTTGGCTTTGATTAACATTAGAATATATAAATGCTATGAAAATATAAAATTAAAACTATCATACTCACCTCACTGAGAACTTTCTATCAAGGTGTGTTTGATTAAAATTAAATCATTGCATGTCAAAATAATTTTAAAAAAATGTGAAATTTACTGTTAATTTTAATTGAGACCAGTTTATTTATTTATAAATACCTGATACGCAAAATAGTTTCAAACGAAAATAAAACATCTAATTTTATATCATATAAACTTAAGAATAATTCACAAAAAACTGTGCCCGGATACTTTCTTCAGGATAGTGTATATATTTCTGGGTCCTATCATTGTCCAAAAGTTGCTTTTCCAACAAAGCTATTGTCTCATCACAGTTTTTAATAACATCCTGCATGTCTGTTTGCGTCATTATTAAGTAAGTATTATAGGTAATTCATTTTTTGCAAAATTCATAATAATTTCTTGAATGTGCAAAATAAAAGGATTCTCAGATTTTTTTATCATTTATAAAATGACTAACATGCTAACGCCAATTTTTCACGTATTTATTCAAAGCATCTTAACCACCTTTCTCGATCTATCAAAATTTATATATGATACCGTCTCACATTACGAAGAACTCCATTATCACTAGAATAGGTGAGCATGTTTATGCTTTAGAAATTTGGAATTTACGAGGATTTAATTTTCTTTAAATTTAATAAAAATTTAGTAAATTATTTTGAAATCGGATATTTTTCCGTTTAATGTTAAAACCATTCTGGTAAATTTTTATGTAATCAGATATTTATCCGGAAAACTTAAAAAACCATTTTGAATTTTACTTGAAGGTTTAGAATGTATGTTTAGTTTAATTTAACTTTTGCTCTTCATTAGAATATAGGTTGGAAGCTGTTTCCGTTTGTATATTGGTCAAGCAATATTTTCTTCAGTATTGGATATGTTTATGTTGTGAGACTTACATAATTGCGCTCAAACTGAGCAAACAAGGAAAAAAAAAGCTAAAGTAGCACGTATATATTTGAATTCGTTTATAAAAAAGACGTGTAAGTGATATGCGACAATTGATTTATATATAGCATACGAAACCTTCAACCAAACATAATCACTGGTTTATCGCTGGCTTAAACATCCCATTCTTGCCTTTACGCTTAACCAAATTTTTATTAACGTCAATTTCCATTGTCTAGATATATGACAAATTGTCACGATATTTGCCAAAGAAATTTACGTACATATTGTTAAGCATGTTTGGTACCTAGTCCCTGCGCCACACTATTTCTTTGTCCTCAAATTTCCAAAAATTCTATCACATTATTATTAAAGTTATTTTTCAGATTTCTGAAGGAAAGTAGTTAATCATCTTATTTTATTAATCGATTATTTTATCAAATATTCATCTTGAATCATTTCATCTATTGCAGAAATTCCGAAACAAAACTTGGCCTTTTTTGAACAAAAATCATAAGGATGCGCATTCATTTTTTGCAAAATTCATACTTCAAATTATAGTCAGGGCGTAAATATTTTAAAAAAAAAGTCATACTGCAAAATAATCGTAATAAAATTTATAAAATTTTTATTAAATCGTTATATTCAAATTTATCAGGATACTTGTGGAATTTTTCAACTAAATCTAATTCTTCTTTTGTACCACTAACATAAAATCTTTGCATGGCATAAGTAAGGTATTGAGCAGTTTTTAAAGTAAGTAAATCGGGTTCAACGATTTCACCATACATTAAAACAATCCCTTTAGAATCAATAAGGTCAGGAAAATGAGTTAACACCATATGATATTTTGATTCGGTTCCATGAGTCTTGTATTCTAATAAAGAAGTAAAGAAACATTGATGAAATTGAAATTGAAGAACATAAAATTCAAAACCTTGTTCTTGAGGTAAAGGAACAACAAACTAAATAAGGAGGAATTGGTTAAAAAAAAGTATTATTCGTAAATTTCACGAATCAATAATAAAAAAGTTACCAATGGATATTGTTGTCCACGTTTAAACAAGGTTCGATAAATATCGGCAGGAATAACGGCTGATAAACAATTTTTTTTAGAATGATATTCTATCCATAATTTTTCAATCATTTCCGAGTCCTGATCTTTTATTTTATCCATATTTAATATCTTATCAAGGGGCTAAAAATAGATTACGATACGTCATCAAAAAAGAATTTATATTGTAATTGTCATAACGTACTAATCTTACTTTGATATGCGGTGGTAAGCTCATTGAAACTTCTGCATTATTTATTTTCTGCGAAACATTTGTTTTATTGTCGTTTGATGAAATTTTTTTTCGTGTAAATATCGATTCATTAGATAAATCCTTTTGAACTGATTTTAATTTTTCAGCTTTCATTTCCTCCACCGAAGTAAACCCCTCCCTTCATTTACATATGAGAGAATTAATTTATTTTAATAGAAATATCAATTCGCGAAAGAAAGGAAATTCTTTACTTTTTAGCTTTGATCTTTAATTTATTATAATATCTTTCCATGTATTTTGAATTAATTGTTTCTTTTGAAGTAAACTGTAGACGAACTTAAATTTAAGAACAAATAAATATAAATAAATAAATAAATATAAATATTTATTATATAACGATTTGCATCAAACTAACCAGAGGTTACTTTAGCAAATCGAGTCTGGATTAAGGGTCGAATTTTCGTAGGAAACACATTTTGTTCATATTTCCTAATAAACAAAGAGGAGAGAGTAAATGGAAAATTCCTAAACGACATTTTGAGTTTTGGGGGGGGGGACAAAAAATCAAATCATTTATAATTTTTTGTGTTACACGACTATTACGTAATCGAATTTATCATATACCGGAATTTCAATCACATTTTCCATAATTTTCTTAACGATGAGTGATTTACCCTATGCTGCTGACGCTGAGGCCTCTCTTTCAGGCGAAGAATTGAATGTAATTTCGATAAACCAATATCTTATTTGATCTGAATTTTTTGGAAAGTGTTATTCTTACGTGAATTCTTTTAATAGATATTACGAAGACAATATTATCGCGAAGTCGATCAAGGAGACGTTACCACACAAACCAAATTTAATTTTGCCTGGGGTTCAATTAAAAGTCGAAAAGCTCCCGACCAAGATCTTGGTGTGACTCTTCTAAAAGGTAACAAACTAAGTAATTTCTTAAAATTGTTCATAATAATATTTTTAACGATTTATTTATTTTATATAGAAATATTTAAAGATGATCCTGAACGTCGTCGCGAATGCCTTTATTATTTAGCATTAGGTAGTTTCAAATTAGGTAGATACTTAGAAGCCAGAGAATTTAATAATAAGTTGTTAAAGATGGAACCTGGAAATTTACAGGCTCAAAATTTACAAGAACTCATAGAAAAGAAACATGAAAAAGGTATAATCACTATATTCTTAATTTAATTTATTTTTTTTAAAAAAAAAATAATTTTAATTTTTAACTTTCTTTTTCTAGAAGGATTGTTGGGTATGGTTATTGTAGGAGGAGCTGTAGCTGTTGGTGCATTGATCGTAGGCACAATTTTCAATAAAAATAAACGTTAAAAATGGATTCCGATCATTAAATTAATATTAGTATAGAATCCTTTAGCATATAATAGAATTTTTAACTTTTCAGAATATATTTAAAATTAATGATGGCCAGGGAAAATTATTATATTGCAATTTAATCAATATGAATTCTATATAATCTATTATATTACCGATTTATCATAATCAAATAAATCATATCCTCCACTAAGTGGATTAATTTCTTCTTTTTCGTCTTTATCATCCTTTTTATTATCCATTGAAAAATCATTACTCCCAAAAGAATCTCTGTTATAACTACTTTTATCTTCTTTCTCAACTTCTTTCATAAGAGATTGCGAAAGTTCAGCTAAATTAAAAATTGAAATCGATTAGAAAAAATAAATATAAAAAAATTCTTTAAAAAAGAGAGATAATCCATACGTAATTGGTAAGTAATTATATTTTTCTGTTGGAAAAATAAGAGATAAGGAGTGTCCGATTTGAAATCTTCTCCTTCGGAAATAATTCTTGATAATGAAGAGGTAGAAACATAACTATCGTTATAATTATACCATTGACCATCTTGCATAAATTTATAATAAAAAATTAATTACAATTTATAAGAATGAAATCAATATGCAAACATAATCAATTTATCACCTTCATCCTTTGCGTACGTATAATAATGACCATATTCAGCAGATGAACCAGAGTGTATTACAATTGCTGATAGATCATATATTTTATCATCCTCTCCTTTTGTCTTTATTCGTTTCTCTCCATTCATCATTCCGTTAATCATTCCGTTAACTATTCCATTTTGATTATGATTTGATTCAGTGGGTGATTCATCATTTTCATGAACTTGCGGTACTGATAATGATTCTTGTATTGAAACCTATTATAATAAATATTTAAAGTTTTACTTGAATTAATTCGCCTTCCACTTCCACTTTCATTTTTATAATACTTACATGTGTCATGATTTTGATCCTTCTAGCATATTTCACATCATACTCGAATCGATTAAGCGATAATATTAAATAACGCGGTGGCGTAATTATTCGCGTCAACTATTTTTTTTTTTATGGTAAATTGGTAATGATTTAATAACATATAGCATTAAGCAAATAAAATTCTGTATACCTTTTTCGCATCACGTAGTCCTCCACATCTTTCACAAAAATATTGATTATCTCCTTTCAGATCTTCATCAGAAAGAAATCCCGATAATAAATCAGAAAATGAAAGATTGTCTGCTGAAGAAAAATAAAATCTTAAAATCCAATGATTTTAAACAAATATGTTGATTTACATATAGTTGAATATCTTACATGTATCGACTTTCAATGAAAGTGAAAGATCATGAAATCCTTCCTTGATAAGGAGTTATAAAATTAAAATGAGATATCAATATAATTAAGTGTAAACATTCTTTACTGTATATACATACCTTTGTTTTAGATTTTTTCCCACATTCCATACACATAATAATATTTTCCATTTTTCCACCAAAGGGACTTATTGGAACATCTGTCATATCCTCAAGTACGGTTGAAATTCCTTCCTCTTCCGATTCTAGCCTAAGTTGTTTATTTGAAGTTTTTTTCGATTCTTCTTCAATCTGACAAAATAAAATTCTAAAAGAAAATTTTCATATCAGTCAATTAATCAATGAAATTAGTATTTATAACTTGTTGAAATATGAAAGTACTTGCTTCAAAAATTCATGACAATCCTGTTGTCGACCATTATTTAACCAACTTGGAAGCGTCTAATGATGCAAATGGATCTTTAAAATATTGAATAAATTAACGAATTACATAAATAAAAAATTATATTTATATATAACCTCCAATAATGCTGATGGTGAAAAATACGATTTTTTAGAAAATATCATACAAGCAAAACACAATTGAAGCTGATAGATCGTTGAAGTTTTTGATTTCGTTCTATAAAACATAACGTGTTTGAAAATATAATCAATTGAATATAATTATAAAATAAAAACGTAAAATTCCTACGTCGATGCCTGTAATATACGACGTCTAAATTCCGCTGAGTTAAATAATGCCTTCAAAAAAAAAAAAAATAATAACAATATAAATTTAGCTCGACATAAATTTTAAAATTTTAACTCTATTTTTGTATATCTCTGACCTGAAGTACACTATTCATAAAACAAGTATTTCCTAAGTTTTGTAATCCTTTCTTTTTAAAGATTTTCGGGGAATAAACAGGAGTTTTCACAGGAGGTTTCACAGAAGGTTTCACAGAAGGTTTCACCACAAATTCCTTACGGCTATCTGTATTTTAAGCTGCACAACTTAATAAATTAAAAAAATTTAATAGATTAAAAAAAACAAAATAACAAAAAAAATTTACCCGCAATGTTTGGTACTTTAAACCATGCATGCTTTTGAAGTATATTCGAAATATCCTCACGTTTCAATACCGGCTGTGAATATAATTTGCGTGTTAGTAAAAAAAGAAAAAGAAAAGAAAAACAGAGGTGAACGAGGCTTCCTCAAGCAACAAATTAGGAGTATTGTTAATATACCAAGTCATGCGATTCCAAAGTATTATAAAGTTGCAAATATTTATCGCTTCCCCCTGAAAATCGCAACATGAGACATTGAATTATTCTCGAAAGTTCAAGTAAAGTACCAACTTGATCTCTCTAAAAATAAACACCTTGTTAATTAAAATTTATCTACAAAATCATAATTTAAATTTAAAATAGTATAATAACCTCTTTATCGATCGTATCTAAAACTTTGGGAATAGTTGGAATAATTGAATCGAAGACATCAGGTGCAACTTGATATCCAAGTAGCAAACATTTAACGACCATTAAAGCATCGCTACGCGCATGGCGGTCTATCAAATATTCGAAGCCTAATTTTAAAACTCGTATTAGCTTTATTGCAAAATAATTCTTTTAATGAAATTAAACAAGTACTTACATCGAGACGCATTTGCAAGAGTGATCCGTATCAATATAGACTTATCCTTTAATTTTTCCAAAGCTTTGACCAATTCTATGATCCAACAGCCTAAATTTAAAATTAAAATTAAATTGATAAGTTTCATTACAGTATGAAAGAGTCATCCATAAAAATTTAACCTACTAATGTTGTTAGCAAATGGATGAGGTATCATCGAAATCATTCTTTCAACACATAGTTCAAATTTCTTAGCATCTTCTGCGGGAATCTTCTGAACATAGTATTGGATAACTAACGGGATTTCAATCTAGACGTTCGTCCGGTCAGATTTTATAAGCGACAAGAAAAAGGAAAATTTTTACCTGATGTACATGATTTAGGTATCCTACTAATCAAAAGTACTATAGATTTGGAACAGGTTTGATTACTTGAAAGCCGTATAAAAATTTCACGGATAGTTACGCCTATGATTTCCGGGCTGAACATCGTGATAATATTATTAGCATCATTTTTTATTGAGAAATTTAGCATATGAATATAGAAATAATTGTAAAATAACCTCTTCTTCCATAAAGATTCAATTAATTTTACCGTCTGCTTCACAAATTCATCATACGATTCTAAAGAATCGCTTTCCGGAATGGCCAAAGAATATAAAAGCACCTATGTTTATATAAATAAGAATCTTTTAGAAAATAATTGATACAAAAGAGGAAAAAATTAATTTTATTTACCTCAATTAATCTAACATGATCTTCGGGAATTGATTGTGGAAGCTCAGTGAACATAGATACAAACAATTGCATCCAGTCAACCCTACTTTTGACAACCTCAAAATATTTAATAGAATAAGACTGTAATATCCGACAGTCAATTTCAACATTAGCATGGTCGTCGGAATCACTTGAAATTTCTAGAAGGAGTAACCTTTATGAGAACAATATCATGATGTGAAACCTTTTATTTATGCTAAAATATACCTTGTTTGTATTTAATTATTTTAACTAATGCTCTTAGTTGTTGGTATAACTACAAATATAATAAAATATTTATTTTTCTGACTTTTTTTTAATAAAAAAAGTATATCCTGAATTATAATATAAATACATTATTTGGAATATTGTTGTTGCTAAGGGTTTGCGTTATCCAGCTCGAATTGAAATAAAGCATATATATTGCTTTCTGAAGACGTGCGATTCGAGATAGAATAAGCTCACCAAAAGCGTGAACGCGAGAAGTATGCTTAAGAGAATAGAAATTTAGAAATCTATAACATTTCGAATAAATCAGAAAATGAATTAAGGGATTACCTTGATGATTCCGTATGCATACTCGCAAAGCTGTTCCCAATCTGGTTTTGAGTAATGTAATTTACTTATTGATTCCAAATAAATTATAATAAATTTTTTTTTTACTTCTTCAGAATGTGGAGATTTAAGAAGGTTATCGAATATGAGCAAATTCTTTTCCATCGTTAGATTTTATTAGAAAATGTGAAACAGTTATAAATTTTAGAAATTGATCAAACAATTAAACGCGTTTCTTAAACTGTCGCGATCTAAATGTAGTAAACATGCCGGTGGTTTATCCAAATCCTAAAGCGTGAGGTATGATTATATAAATCACGTGATAAAGTTACAAATAACTTACATATCCGTCCTATTGATCAAATTTTGTGTAACGTATAATGTTAGAAATATATTTAAATAATTCTAAGCTAAAGTAATTTAAAATACTTGACATAAAAAATATGTATAATTAATTTTTTGAAAATGAATTCTCTATTGTTTAAATCATATTTTTATGCATAATTAATGAAAACTATATATGTATAAATATTGGTCTAATATTATTTATATTTTATTTTTTAAACTTATTAAACTATTTAAATTCAAATAATTAGACAAGTATAGTTTTTTCTGTATTTTTAATAGTATAACCTTTCTTAAATAGTTAATTCTAGAAGATAATGATAATCATAATAATATTAATTAAGTATTTTATTAAATAAAACTATTTATTTAACCACTTTTTTATTTTTTATTTTTTCAGTTTAAGTATATATATAATAATATTTATTTAATAATATTTATTATATGATGCGATACATCTATAATCATCAACAAATTTAGTGTAACTTTTTATTATCACTAACCCTGTAAATTTATATAAAATTTAAAATTAATACTGATAAAATAATAGATTAAGTTATGCTCTTTCAATCTATCAGTTTACTTTTTTGATTATATAATTTTTAGCTGAGTTATTAAGGTTTAAATTTATATAACTTTATTAAGAATAGAATAAATTTAGATTGATTTTATGTAACTTTTTATAAGTTTCAGCCAATAGTGAATGAGCCTTATTCACATGATCATCATGCAATCAGTGATCAGAATCTTTTTTTTTTAAAAAAAAAAATTTTCGTTAAATGATACTTTTGCTTTTTATATGCTATCTTTTATAACAATACTGTTTTAATTCATCAGATTATCGAAGAAACTTTGGTTTTATCTATTATTGTTGATGATTTAGTAACAATTTCAAGCAATTTTTTTTTTCTCAATCAAAAAAAATTATTATTTTTTTTTTCTAATTCACTTTCTAATCAAGCATGCCACTAACAAAAAAACAACAAAAACTTTATGAAAAACAGCTTCAATTATCAAATAGTAAATTTGGATCAAAAAAGCTAAATGATAATCAGGATAATGATGCTTCTGAGTTAGAAATTTCTGGTTATTGAGGCGATATTGATGATAATGGATGGGAAAGTGAGATTAATTTAGAAAATGAAAAGAAAATTCAATCAAATTTTATGAAGATAAAATTAGGTAATTATTTATTTAGTAAATATTCTATAATTAAATAACAAAATTTATTAAAAGTTTTTTAGATTTAAAGTGAGATGTAAATAACGAATTTGAAAAAAAGAAACAAGGGTCATATAAAACTGATACAATATCAAAATTAACATATTATAATAAATGAGGTCTAAATGGTATATATACAAAATCAGCAATCAATACTTCGAAAATTACAAGTTTTTTTTCTATACATGAAACATCACCTTTTAATAATACTAGTATTTTTGCAAATTCAGATGATGATACTGATATTGAACTACATAGTGAGTTAGAAGAAAATTGGTATAAGGTAAATAATATTGATATAAAATTAAAATTATTAAAAATAGAATTAAAAGGTTTTCATAATAAAATGAAACCTAATGAATATAACAAAAAGCGGGCAATTTTTAAATATTTAAAAAAGTTGAATAAAAATGGCAGTGACAAAAATGAATGCAAGTTTAAATATTACACAAATGGTTTTTATTAATAGTAGAGTTTGAAAAGCTCGACAAATATAATATTGGACTAATTACAGTCAACTCTTATTATAACGAACTCTATGTCTTAGACCTTAACTTTGCTATAAGGCTATAGTGAAGATTTTAAGAGATTTTATTGGCCAATTCGCTATAACAAGAGTATTTTTATTATATTTGTTCAAAAAATTCATTATATCAAGAGTTCGTTATATCAAGAGTTGACTGTATTGGCTTTCTCATGATATGCTTCCTATATCTCGTTAAGGAAAATATCAAAATCTATTTGACTAATTGATGATGAAAATGTTACTGAAAAATGTCATACTTGGATTCGTAACTAAAATTACAAATTGACACCTATAAAATTTAAAGAATTTATTAAACAGAATTTATTTCCTAAATTAGAAATTAACAAAAAAAATATTAGTATTTTAACTGCTATCCGTTAGCTTCATATTTTTGGATATACAAAACAAAGATTGAAATAAGGTATATATTATGATAGACATGAATGTGAAAATGTAATCCAATATTGAGCTAAATTTTTAGAGCAAATATTTGAATATAAAAAGTTTATGTTACATTATGAAGGTGAAAATATGGATTGAATCTTACTTAATTTAATAGAAGGAGAAAAAGAATATATTTTAGTTACGCATGATGAATGTATTTTTTATTCTAATGATAGGCAACATAGTATTTGAGCTAAAGATGGTGATTTGTCTTTACAAAAAAAATGTAATAGTAGATCAATTATGGTTAATAAATTTCTAACAGAAATTGATGGAGGTTTGAAACTAAAACCATCAGATATTGAACAGTATCCTATAGTTTTAATAAAAGTGCGTGAATATTTAAAACTGAGCAAAGATCATAAAGGTTATTGGACAGTAGAATATCTTCTTAAATAAATAAAAACTAAAATAATTTCTATTTTTGCATTTGATAATACATCAGTAAATTTAATAATGCGAAGTATTACGTAAACCCTACACTTCGTAATCTTACGTAAGGTTACGAGCCCGTCGAAAAACTTACGTATCGTAGTACTTCGATATTTTTACGATGTGT